CCAAGTTTTGTACCTACATAAGCTGTTAAATTCTGTTAACTTCAGTCTTTGCTTGGGGATCTCGTGATGCTTCTTTTGTGCCATGTGTTCTTTAGAAAGCACACAAAGATGCAGCCTACACAGAGAAAGATACTGACCTGTAGACATGTCTGAAAGAAAAGCAGTTTATGAAGATTCTAGAGACTGAGAATTATGTCCTTTCTGTTATCCTTACATTATGTCTTGAGAAGTGTGTCTGGAGGTAGCACACAGTGGCAGTGCTGCACTAATGAATGGTCTTGACTCTACGCTCTGTAAAAGAGTTACATTCACATGCTGCCTCTGGAAAGGATGCAGATAGTCCTGCCCTTCTATTTGACCTTTTCAGATAAGTAAACAGATGAAACTATCAGTTGCTAAAGAGCAAGTAATAGAGGCATACATATTTTCTCTACTATCCCTAGTAGGGAATATATATATATATATATATATATTTTGTAAGTTTAAATTTAATTAGTATATAATAAAAATAATATAGTTATTATAAAACATTGCAGTAATTTGATACAGCTAATATTCCCTTTATTTGTTTTCATCTTTAATTCAGTTTTAACATTTATTAGTTTCTCTGCCTATCAGCTTTTCCATTGGAACTGTAAACCCTGTAATACCACGTGCATGCCCAATGGGAAAAGATTTCCTCTTTTGTTATATATGGGCTATTGGAAATTCTGCACTAAAGGTTGGAAAATTACTGTATTGTTATTGTCTTCCATTCAATAAGCAGTTAGCAAACAAAAAGTAAAAAACAAAGTATTGATGGAAGTGTTTTATTTTGCTGACTACAATATGTTGATTGAATTATTTAGCAAATTGTTAATCTATAGGACAAAAATAAATAGCTGGTGAATGTAAAATATCTTCTTTTAAAAAATAATTTGCTGCATGTACTGGAATGGGTTCTATCCTATAAAAGCAGATTGATGGTTGCAGAACCATGTAACAATTTCAGCATTTTCAGCTCACCCAGCACAAATACATGAAGCTGCAATTTCTTTGACTGAAAGATTCCAAGAAATAGTAATGCCCGAACTCTGATGGGTGGTGGTGCTGGTTGGCTGGCAGGCAGTGGTGGTGAGGATGGGGCTGACTGCCCGTTGCAGATGTCTGTGGAGCTGTAGGGCTGTGTTAGCAGAGTTCAGTTTTCTATTCTCTGTGGGGGCAGAAAGGTGCAGATGGTCACTGTCCTGGAGCACTTCCAGGTTAATGTGTGTGCATGTTGTGTTCTCATACGATTTCTGTTTTACTGAAGTTGTGAATCCTTTCCTGGAAGGTGCTTTATTGAAGGAGTACAAGTCAATTTTTCAGTGACTGCCTTCAGTAGTCTTTTATCTCTTTTATCTTGCCTTGCCTAGCCTTGCCTGTTATGTGTACTTAGTTATTGTGAGATGCCAGGAGTGTATAGGAGTGATGTCAGAAGAGTGCATTTGAGCAGCCAACAGCAGTGAGTACTGGGAAGTCACTGGAAGCTTCTGTTGATTTGATGGAATAAATCAATAGTAGCCAAGGAAAGGATATAGCCTTATTTGTTTGCAAAACTTGAGTGCATCCTGAACACGGCCTTTGATCATCAACTGAACTGCAAAGGCTTTAGTTAAGGGCAGACACAAAAGATTCAGTAATGATAGTGAATACATCTTCTATACTTTGACAGTGTGCGTGTGAGTGTGTGTGTGACAGTGTGGCTCAGAGTGCTACAAATGACTGAATGCTCCTTTTAATCACATAAAACTGCCTTCTGCTAAAGGGCAGTTCATTAAAGCTGAATTTAGCATTTATGCCTTGAGAAATTTCACATATATGTCTGTGACAAATGCATTACTCATTGCTTATTGTTCTGTATGAGATTTAAAGAAAAGTAAGCATATTGTGAGCGCCCACTGTTGTCCACTGGTGTTCTTCCTGTACAACAGGCTGTGGTGTAAAAAGGTAACTGTATTATTCTGCAAACAAAATCACAGGAATGGATACATGTCACAAACATTTTGCATTTAGCCTAGGTCACAAGCTGTCTTTGTTTCATGCCTTTGTGATCTCTTCTTTTCTGGGCAGATAACCCTATAGTGTGTGCTATTCCAGGGAAACATGGTCCTACCCCAGCTGTAAATGAACTCCCCACTCAGAGGAGAACAAATAATTGAGAGCAAATAATGAGAAAACTGAAGTTCTAACAGAGTAGTGGATGTTTGGGATTAAAATCTGACTTTCTGTTTCCATTTATATTTTGTAGTTGTTCTAGGTGGGGCCAGAAGGGAAAAGTTGATTTATGACAAGGTTTTAAAAAGTGCAGCAGGTTGTTTACTCAGGAAGGGCACTGGGAGGATATTTGACATTTCAAATCCTCTGTATTTATCTCTGTTTTTTCTCTTCCATTCTGTGGACTGAGACTAGAACTGACTTGTTTCTTATGTTTTATAAATGCTTATGAGCTGACTTTGTGTTTATAATGAGGCCTGTGTGAATATCCCATAGTGATACCCCAGTAATTACACCATTCAGAGAGGTTTTCTTTAGGAACTCAACCAAGAGACAACTTGAAAGGGATGAGATTGTACTGCCCATGTATTTATATACATGTATGTGGCTTCTCTTTTAATATATGTCAAATAATAAATCTGTTTCTACAATTACATATATTTGCACACACTTTGATCAAGATATTCAATTGAATCTCAATTTCAATTAAACAAAGTATATTCTGGGGAGAAGAGATACAGTCTAATGTCAGTCCCACCAGAGTTACATTTGGCTGTCCAACTACTGGCTATAAATGGGTTAAAACCAAATGAAAATAAACAAACATAGCTGAACCAAAAAGTATTGCAAAATGCAGCAGAAATTGTTTCTGTATTTTAAATCTATTTGAAATTCAGAAATATGCTTTTATTCTATGGAAGGCCCTAGGTTTGTCAGGTGTTGACATCCCTTTCCACATCTCTGTTGGGTCAGAAAAGCAAAAATATGTTCTCCTGAATTGAGATTTTATCTTTTAGAAGGAATATCCATTCCTTCCCAAAGAAATAAGTAATATTATATGATTCTAAATGAATGTTGAATTCCCTTGATTTCAGTAAGCAGAAAAGACACTTGAACTTTCTCTTGTTGTGAAGCACAACTCAGTATCATACAAAAACACATACAATTTTTAAAATATTTGCTGAAGTGCTGCTGGGTCACAAATACATAAGTAAATGATGAAGAGGAAGGTTAGTCCTTACACTATTGGTTTCCTTTTCTTGAATAAATAGCAACAGTAATAATTAGAAAATATAAATACCTGACTTCTTGTTAGGCCAGATGTCACTTCTTTGAGGCTGGCACACAGAACTGCTTTTTAGCATCTTAAATTGACACAGCATTTTTGGCCTGGTGTTGATACTCCATCTTTCTTTTAAGAAACAAATCTGCTCTAAGTTATTTCCTCAGCTTCAAAAGGGAAAGATGTATATCACCACCAAGAAAATGTCAGTAGCTTTCATTTGTGACTTGAAATATCTAAAGGTAAATTTTAGATACAAATATTGATACTGAACATTTTATACTAGTTTTCTGTTGATCATCAAATACTTTGGAGTTGCTAATGTATTAGTGTGAAAAAATCTAAATGTAAAATTGCATCCAAATGAGGACTCCCACAGATTTCTAAAGTATGCTGTCCCTCATTAAATTAATCATAGCATTTTTTATTATCTTTAGGCTTTTGTGGAAAAAACAGTGTTCTCATTGTAGGGAATAAGAGATAAGGGATAAGAGATGACTGAGAAAAGCTGATTCCTCTTTGTCAAGTCTTTGTGGTGGACTTTATATTGGTGCTTTAAAGCAACATGTATTTAGAATAACAAACAGTTCAAATTATCTTTGCTTTAAAGGCGTTTTTTTGTGTACTGAGTTGCAGCTAGAATAGAATTGAGGGTCACATTTGAGGGCATGGCAAAAATAATGAGTCTTTTGAAGAGAGATTTACAAAATGAGTATGAGTTTTACTTGGAAATGAAGCAAAAAGTTTGTTCTTGGGGAATGAATACCTTTTATATAGGCTGGGTAATTAAACAGATGTGTGTGTTCAGTGTATTCTTCCTTGTGTGTTGCTTTTAACAGCAAGGTATTCCAAAGGGCTGGTTTTGGCCCAGCCAGGCTATCAAGGATGTCACAGAAGTTTTCTTATACATTTTCTATCTAATTTTTGCTGTTTAATCAGTTGTCTGTTCTCAACTGCCACCCAACAATAAAATTATAAAGACACTGAAGACACAGCCACACACCAACCTGTACCATATTTTGGGAAATATAGAAGAGGAAGTCAGATTATCCCATACTTGCTCTTGTGAAATTAAAGCAGTTGAGAACAGTGGTGGCTCCACCTTGCAGTAAACACGGGGACAACTGGAGGTCCCATGTGGGGGAGAATATAGAAGCTTTCCTTCTCTGAATGCGTACAAATATCTCTCACCTCAAGATACTCAGCAAGAGGCTGAAGGAGACAGGGTCATACACTGAGACTGGGGAACAGGATTTCTGCTGCAGATCTGCTGGCAAAGACAAATACTTATTTGGAGAAAATACTTTTCAATGTACTATGCTCTTTCAATTGAAGCTGAAAATTTTGCTTCCAGATAACACTTTTAGATGAAGAATTCTGTCACTCAAGTTACAGCCAAAAAAAATCTCATTTTAGGAAAGGAACAAATGAACATAGCTTTTCTCCCTTTAGAGACTCAGGAAATTTCAGAATGATAAAAAGGCAGTGGTAAGAGACTTTCTTAACAGGAACCAATAAAATATTGTGGTTAAATTATTAGTTGTTATAAATTATATATGCATATATACCTCCATTTAAATTTATCTCCAAAACGTCAGAAGTATGAGGAAAGAAAGGCATGAGCACTTCTTTCATTCTGATTTGAAAGCAACAACAAAAAGATGCAATTATTTCTTGCCTTTTTTCCCCTTAATTCTCTCAGGTCCGCACCAGTGTCCTATCTGATCACAAGGAACCAAGAGCAGATGTTGGGGTAAGCAATTATTTTCATATATTAATTTTTTTTTTCATCTCATCAGCAGGCACAGACACCCACTGCTCAACAGGAACTGACAAGCTTTTTTAATAGCAAAAGTTTTTGGTTAAATGAATAAAATAATCAAGGCAGGAGTGATAGTCTCATGGATTGATATAATCCTATCCACATCTTTTTCAAAATCTTTTTCAACTGAAGCTATCCTGAGACAAACACAACTGTGTAAACAAACTCCTTGCTAATGTCATACAAGCAATCTGGATGAGATTGAGAGTCTGGAGTGGCATTGCCTCAAGAAGCCTGAGCTTCTGGTCATTGTGTGCAGACCATTGTGTGCTGCATTCTGCAGCAGGAGTTGCCTTTGGTTTGTGTTTTCAGCAATTAAACTGGCAACATATAGAGGACTCATTTTTATGTGTAGATCTACAGAGCGTTTGACAAAGGTATTGGGAAGTAATTTCTGGGTCTGAGAGGGCCAAAACCTCACAGATAATATGGACACCTGGTGTGGGTGGGAAAGGTTGGTCCTGCTAGAGCTGAATAAAAGAACAAAGACCACCTGATGTAGGTGTCAGATCTGTCTGCAAACATGTAAAATAAATTTTAAATTTTTAGGGATTTAAATTTTTAGGCTAAATTGTTGACTTTTCTGCCTTACCAGGGCTTCCATGGCATAGTTTTCAGGACTTCATCTAGTGTTTGAAAAATCTGTAGCTTGGCAGCAAGTTCAGTCTTAGTGAAATAATCAGTGTGCTTTAACTTTTCATATAGCTATTATAGAGACTTTCCTCTTTGGCTAGCTGAGATTATTCATCAAACTATTCAAGGCATGTATCTTCAGATTTATTGTCGTGACTACAACAGTAGCAAAACTACAAAGGAACATTACTCTGCAGTTAGCATTACAACAGCAAGCTGTTTAAAGCTTAACTTTCAAGCCTTTCCAAGTCATGTGGGAAAATTAGATTGGTTTGTAGACTGCCAGCTCATACCGCAGGGCGGACTATTGGTATCTAAGTCATTATGAAAAAAATATTCTCCAGTTTGATATTAGACCACTTGAACACTAGCATTACTCTCTTCATTTGGGTCATGGGATCATTTAAAATTTTATTTGATTTTGCACAAGATTTTTTTTTCTTAAATAAGCATAAAAATATGAAACAGAGACCTAAGTAGAATGTTTGAAGCCAATACAATCATTCATCATTAATTTCATGACACTGGAGAGGTAGATCTGACAGTCAGACATGTTTAGTAGGTACAATGACCAAAGTTCTTTGACTTTAAGAGAGAGCAGTGTAGTTGTCTCCTGGCCCTGGTCATGTGAAGATTCTGACTTAGGATTCTTTAAATATATTTATAGTTCTATTTTGCTGCAAAAAGAAGCCCCAAGTGACCAAACCTTATATCAGTTTCATTTCAAATACCCCTTTTCCCCTTTCCAAATGGTCAGGTTTCAAATAAAAACACTCAAATGTCATGAAATGCCAGCATAAAGGCTGCTACAGAGACAAAGTGCTATGGAATGTGTTCTTACAGTATGAAGAAGGATCTGCTCTTGGAAGAAGATAAATAATCTGGGCTAAATATATGACCATGAAGTTTTAGTGGAGAAACTCCGTGTTTGGATCAGTCATGTTGACTGATCCAAAGGAAGACAGAACCATCTGTGTGTTCACTCCAGCAAAGCTGTGCATCACTGTGTGTTGCACCTGGATGTCTTTTTTGTAGAAGTACCTTTCATTTTGGCATTGAAAACTAACTGTGACCTTTGCTTGTGTGGCTATGTTATTTTTCTCTATATATATCCTACAGGCCTTTTTTCTTCCTTTCTTCCTGTTCATCACTTCACAGATCCACTATTTTTCCAGCCTTCTCTAGACTCTTAATTTGTGTCTTTTTTCCTTTGCTGCTTACATGCTGCTTAGGGAATCTAAGCCAATGGCATTGATGGGAATAAGCCATACCTCCTGACTCAGTTTACCAAACTGCAGACCTGTGTTGGTGCTTACCTAATTTCAGAATTGTTATTTGAACTGTATATTGTATATAGAAGAAAACTTATCTTAGTGTAGAGTTTTTTTGTTCGCAGTCAAACACTCAACATCCTGCTGGCTTTCCTGAAAAAAAGCAGGCTGAAGGGTTTTTTTCACCAGAGGAAGTTTCTCTTCTCAGCAGTGACAGTGACTTCTTTTCTGTTTTTCCCTGAAGGAAAAGTTGCTCTCTGTAGGCAGCCTGTGTTGACTCGGACTCTATTCTTCTAGAATTTGTATATTCAAGAATGTATAGAATTTAGCCTGGAATTTTAATTTACCATTCCAACAGTAAACTTAGTGTTATGTAATAAAAAACCCAAACTTCTTATTGTTGTGTCTTTCTTATTGTTTTATTGCAAAAAATTAAATTATGTTTAATGTCATGATCTCATTACAATTTATTTAGAGCAAGTGATATTGTGTCATATATTTAAAAGATAAATGGGTAGAAGGTGGCTGTATGCTGTTAGTTTATTTCTTCTTGTTCCCAAGGCAAGAATACTACTGCTGGCCAAGCTGACAAAATGGGATTTCAGCAATGTGGAGCAGTGTCGTGGTTTTAAACCAATAACTAAGAAAATTACTTACTTCTTGCTGTGAGATATGGATTAGAACAAGAGCAAAACAGGCATAAAACTTAAAAGGAAAAAAAAAGTTTATTGACAAACTACAATAAGGAACACCAGAATAAACTTCCAGAAAAACCTTTTCATCCCCTGTCTACCCACTATTCCCTTGTTCACATGACAAAAGAGACAAAAACTTTGGAACTTTGGTGGTTAAAACAGTCCCAATTCTTGCTAGTCTTTTCACCAGTCTTTATAGAGAAACAGAAGTTTCTTCCTGTTAATTTATGGAGTTTCTCACAAGAAAAACTATTTTTGTTATAGTTTTCCATTGCTCTAATGTTAGCTGCCCAGAGCTGCTGTTATTAGAGCCCACTCCTCCCATTTTCACATCACTCTGAAGTGTGTATGGGCCATGAGTCTAGGGATGGGATTTTTAAGGATAAGTTATTCAAAGGCAAAAAGTCTTCTTCATTTGTGTCTGTGAGCTTCACTAGAAAACAGTTTTCTCATTGCCTCTCAAGGCTTCAAATCTTCCAGCACTTCACTGTACCATAATTACTCTACTTTTTTACTCAAAATTTACACTTTGAACACTCTATTCCTCCCTATATACTGTCATGAATTAAAGGAGTGTTTTCAAGACTGCATCGTCTATTTCCATAGTTTTAACAGAAAGATATTTCAGCTTAATTAAAGCATCTTCTTAATTCTCTACCTTTTCTGAAGCTTCTTTTCTTTCCTGTCACTGGTAGTTTATAAAGTCTCTTTTCATGTTGATCACTCTCTTTTTCTCTCTCTGGATAAAAAGATTAATCCGCAAGTCTCATCTGGGTAATGAAAGAGTTAAAATCTTGCCCAGGCTGTTGTAGGTAGTTCTGTGGCCTCGGCCGGTGCAGGAGCTGGAGCCGTCTGCGATGGAAAGTTCCTCATGGCTGCTCTGGAGAGTGTAGGCGCCGCGCCCAGCCCGCTGCAGGTCCAGAGCCTCTCTCCTTCTTCACTCAGCAGTTTCTAGTGAATTTAGTTACAGCAAAAAACCTGCAGCCGAGCCAGAGATCGGCTCGGCCCGGCCCGGCCGGAGCCCGGAGAAAACCTTCTCCACAGGGCCCGCATCCCCCGGCCGGGAGACGCTGGGCCCAGCCCAGTCCCCGCCCGGCCGCATGGCCTGGGCAGGGAACGGGAGGCCTGGAGCTCTGCCACCCTTCCCAGCCAGGAAACAAAGAGAACCAAGAGAGCTCTGGTTTTACACTTTAAGGTAGGGTTCACAAGTTGATCCCACTTTTCAATGGCCTAAACTGCTGTCAATTCTCAACAATGAACGATAATTGGTCAGGAGAAAAGACTCCAGGCAGTTCCCAGCAACTTAAACTTTCTTAAAGGTAAAGTAACTCCATGACAAGCAGGATTTGAGCAGAGGTTAAAAAATAACCAAAGTGCAAAAGAAGACTTAATCCTTTTTCTTTTTTGAACCTTTTTTTTATGTGTGAAGAGTGATTTTTCTAGAAGAAAAAGATGTAGTGGTGTAGCTTAATTTAACTTTAGGCAATCTAGTTGCATTACCACATTTTTCTGCACTTTTAATGCAGTGAATAGGTTCATCTTACAATGGAAATAGAGGAAAAAAGTGCCTAAAACATTACCAAGAACTAGAGAAATACAACATTTCTATTAATGAACTTGTGCTGAAGTCAATTTAAAAATACCTTCCTAGCAAATACATTCATATTTGGAATACATGGATGGTAGTACCAAGGGCTTGAGGAAGAAACATAACAACTTTGGTAAATAGTGAAAACTTAGCACTTGTTGTAATCCAGAAATTAGAAAAATATAAATAGATGCAAAATGCAAATACTTGGACGGAATGAAAATTTTCCTGTGGCTGCATATCTTACAACCTGTTATTCTGTCATGTTGTTAGACTGTTTGTAATGGAAAAGAGAAAGGTTCCTGCCCATGAAACCAAAGTTTTTAACAGTTTACTAATAATCATGCTGTAGATGCACAAAAAAAATTCTAGTTGCTGGAGTGTCATATAGCTGTCATAGAGCTGTTATATGGAAATGCAATTTGAAGATTTTCAAGTGTGAGACCAAAAGAAGTAACAAAAATGAACAAATATTTTATATTTTCTTTCTGCTTTGATTTGTAGCGAAGCTTCCTGGGCTGTGCAACTTTTAGAGTGGGAGATCTGGTAAAGTCAAAGGAGCAGCAGCTGACCCTTACCCTCAGGTAAGTATTTCCTACTGTTGTAAATCATGGTGAATTAATAATGCTTGGCATTTCTCATCTAAAGAAAGGCAACAAGGATGGGGAAGGGTCTAGAGCATGAGTCAGGCGAGGAATGGTTGAAGGAGCTGGTGGTGTTTATCCTGGAGAAAAGGAGGCTCAGTGGGGACTCTATCACCCTCTACAGTTACCTGAAAGGAGGTGGTGTAAAGTGGGGGTCAGTCTCTTCTCCCAGGTAGCAAGTAAGGAGACAAGAGAAAATGGACCCAAGTTGCACCAGGTGAGGTTTAGATAGGAAACCAGGAAAAAAAGTTCTTCTCATGAAGGGTTATCAAGCACTGAAACAGGCTGCCCAGGGAAGTAGGGTGGGTCACCATCCCTGGAGGTATTTATATGACATGTAGATGTGGCCCTGGGAAACATGATTTAATAGTGGACATGGCAGATTAATGGTTGGACTCAATGCTCTTAAAGGTCTTTTCCAACCTATACAATTCTATGATTGCTGCTTGACTGAGTTTTAAGCTCCATGTTCCATCAAGTATATTAGATGTCAACTTGAAGTGTTTCTAATTCTGCCATGCACAAATTCAAAACTAAACGCTAAAATTAAATATCAACCCTATAACCTGGAGCTTCCCAGGTGCCAGAATAGAAAAGGTAATTTTAAAGTATGATAACCTATGGAAAAATTGCAGGGAACTTGCCTTAGGGAATATTCTAAGTTTCCTTTAGAAAGGAGCGTAAGATTCCCAGTTTTGTTTGGTTGAATGTGGCTTAAAGAACTAACAGTGTACAGTTTGGTTTGTTTGCTAGGCATGTTTACAGAAGGTGGGCCTAATTATTGAAGGTGTCTCCCATGTGAAAATGCTTGTGGTCTCCTAAACTCATTGTTACATGTAACCATACTGAAATTGCAGGGGGTGCAATGTACAACTAATCAGTTACAGGGTACAGATCTGAAGAAGGGTCAGAGACAATGTTCAAAACCTAGGGCTGGGCTGAACAGATACATCTTAAAGCTGTGCACTGAAGGAAAAAAAATCATCACCCCTGATACTGTCTTGTATAGCTTAAGATAAATGAAGGTACTAATCAAAACCTTTTGAAGGTTAGGGGTAACCTTTTAGGTAGTGATCTTCAGAATAAATTCATTGGACTTTATATAGTGCAGGGATTTTGTTGAGCTGAGTTTTGCAAGTGCAGTGGAGGCTTATTTGGGGTTACGAGGAAGGTGCAGTTAAGCTTCACATAGTAACTGCTCAAACTCCAAACTCCTACAAAGGCAATATTTTGGGAGGAAAGCAGCTGTGATTGGGAGAACTGAGACATTGGTGTATGTTGTGCCTGGGATGTTGCACATAGGTGCTGTGGGAAACTTGTGTTACATTTGTTACCCCGAGCATAGGAAGACAGCCTTAAATTGTTTTAAGGAGCAAAGTATGACCATTCCTGAGATTTTTTAGAAATGGAAACTTCTTGAAGTATTTTGGCACCTGCCTTCCTATTTCAACAAGAATAATTGTATATGAGTGTTTAGTTTACAAGGCAAAACAAAATACTTTGGTTTTAATTTTTCCCAAACAGAAGATGGCATGCCTAGCAAGGTAACTTTCTCTGACAAAAAGATCTGATTAGATAAAATGTGAACTGACTGTTCCCTATGGGAATCAATGATTAGATAAATAAATTCCAGCTTAGTGATTGTAAGAATCTGTTCTTACAGGAATTCAAGTTGTTTTTAGCTCTTTAGGATAAACCCTGCTTCCCTAACATATTGAAAATTTGATCTGAAAGATTGCCTCCAACAGGTGGCACAGTAATTGACAGAATGAAAAGCTTCAGGACAGTTTCAGAGTAAGTATTTTGTATCTCAGCCAACCAATTTGTAACCAAAAAGATGGAAAGCTCATAAGAAATAGATTAAAAATTTGCTTTTAATTAATATTTTTATATTGGTTGTCCTCTTTGTTCAACTAACATTAGAAGACAAATATTCCAATTAAATTAATTTGCAGATTCATTAAATGGTAGGGTTTAGTCAGTTGGATTTTTTTTTTTTTAAAAAAAAAAAGTCCTCACGTTTCAAAAGTGGGATTGTTTTCTGATTGACTATTCAGTAGCAGAAAGTCAGTAGAAATTATCCACATTTCTGAGATGACAATTTAACCAGAGCAGTCTACTAATTTAAGCTTGCTTTCCTCTAATCACCCTGAAGTATTAGTACCTCTCAGGAGGATAGAGGATATATCAAGGGACTTGTCAGAGCATAAAATTCTATTTAATTTTTGTTGATATTCTTCCGATGGGAGTTTATCAGGGAGCGCCTGTGATTGAGGTACTCCTTTGTTGATTTAAAGCAGAGATTTAAAGATCGAGAAATGGCTCGGTGGTGTGCCCTGTAAAGATTGGTGTAATTATGTAATCTGGTTAATTTTTAATTTTTTAATTTTTAATTTATAATTTTTGAGTTTTCTTTTTGTTGCCCTTTTTTTTTGTTACTATGTCCTTCCATTTTCTTTCTGAGGTACAACGTAACAATATAAAATTGTTTTCAAAGGAGGATTCTTGCATTTTTCTGTTATTTTGTGGAGAGCTGGCATGTGTCTATGGGACACCAAAAGTTAATTAAACAAGGGACAGAGCAAGGGAGAAACCCCAGGGGCTCAAATTCAATCAGAACACCCTGGGCTGCCACCCCAGGAGGGTCTGGGGTGGGGCAATTCTTCCAGGGCTCACAGGGCACATCCCCTGAGGCGGAGGATGGAATTCCCTCTTGCCCAAGGCTCTCACTTTAACAATGAAACTGAATCTCTGCCTCCCTGGGCGGGGGGCACCTCACAACTGATCTTTTTTTAATTAAACTTTGATTGGGAACTTAGAATGTTTCTAAAACTTACACCATAGAAATCTCAACTCCCCCACAAAGCACCCGCCTGGCTCTGTGGAACACTAAAAACACTAGCACCCAACAACAAAACAGACTAAGCAAACAAACAAAAACAAAATTTGAAACAAACGCTTAGATCTAGGACAACAGCCGGGCAAATTAAGCAGTGGTGGTGGTTAATAAAAACAGAAAGGTTTTTCAGTTCAGTCTCTACCAGTTCTTGATTTTCTTTTAGGAAGGTAATAGCTCTTTGATCTCCTCTTATGAGGGGCAGAGTTCTCAGTGTTCAGCCTCAGCTCCTGCCCCGAAGATAGGGCCGTCGCCAATTCAGGGGATGATGATGAAACACTGGCCTTTGGCGCTTGGGTTACAATTTAGACTTTCCTGGAGGGGCTGCTAACCACCATGGAAAAGGCACAGCCCCAGAGGTAGAGCAGTGGGAGAAAGGGTTGGAACTGGAGCAAGAATTACTGGGGGAAGGGAAGGTTAGGGGCTGGAAAAGAAGGAGAAAGGCAGGATAAAGGATCCCAGACTGTGTGACCAGCGCCATCTTGGGAAGGGGTGGTCCAGGAAAGAATATTTCCATTTTCCCGGACAGGGAATGGGAATGTGGAAAGACAGGGGATAAAGGAGGACACGAGACGGCAGGCAGATGGTAGCAGACCTGCATTACTTCGGACATTCTCCATTCCTTGCCTGCCTTCAGGAAAACAGGGGATGGGATGGCAGAGGCATATCGGTGACGGGGAGTCAGCAACAGCCCCGAGCCATTTTGGCATTTTTTACCCTTTGTCCTGCCCTTAGGAACACAGGAGAGGGGAAGATATGGGGAGGTATACACAAAAAAAAAAGAGGAACTTTGCAGAAGCCAAAAAACAGTCCACAGGAAGAGCCATACTGTCCATAATTGTCCATAATGTTAATATTGTCCATAAAGGTCCTTCCCATGTATAAAAACAATAAAACCGTCTATAATACATCTCGTTGGGTAATGGTAAATGTTTATCCCAGTGCCTAGTCTTGCCCCCACCCCCTGTAAGCCCTTTTCCCCCGTGCCCCTGAGGCACTCTCAGCTTGGCTCTCCTGCCAGGTATTCTCGAGTCCTCCTTTCTAAGTTGAGGGTCTCACCAGCTCTCAAGCCATCAGCCAGGGACGTACAGGGTGTCCATGGAGCCGGTCCTGCTATTCTCCTGGTGCCTCACTGGATGTCTGCATTCTCCACCATTGACACACTGTGCTTTTCCATTTTCCTACCATTGTACCCTAATAGTGATTAAGGATACAAGTTACAAAACCTCTGCAAAAGAAGTTTTTATTTTGATTGTCCTTTCTTCTCCATAAAGGTGCCCTAAACCAGTGGCCAAGTGTTTTTGGTAGATCTGTGCGCGTGTAGATAATCATCAAAACATGAAAAGGTCAATTAGTACAATTGCTTCAGTATACACAACTGATGTTGGCTGAGGAATTTAGTTACTAGAGATTTGGGATTGCAGTTTCCAATATGGAATTTATAAAAAGAGAGATGCTTTCTATAGACTTGCATGTTTAATTTTGCAATGATAATGCAATGTCACTTGCTTCTAGCTTTCTGTCGTGGTTTTAAACCAATAACTAAGAAAGTTACTTATTTCTTGCTGTGAGATATGGATTAGAACAAGAGCAAAACAGGCATAAAACTTAAAAGGAAAAAAAAAGAAAGTTTATTGACAAACTACAATAAGAACACCAGAATAAACTTCCAGAAAAACCTTTTCATCCCCTGTCTACCCACTATTCCCTTGTTCACATGACAAAAGAGACAAAAACTTTGGAACTTTGATGGTTAAAACAGTCCCAATTCTTGCTACAGTCTTTTCACCAGTCTTTATAGAGAAACAGAAGTTTCTTCCTGTTAATTTATGGAGTTTCTCACAAGAAAAACTGTTTTTGTTATAGTTTTCCATTGCTCTAATGTTAGCTGCCCAGAGCTGCTGTTATTAGAGCCCACTCCTCCCATTTTCACATCACTCTCAAGTGTGTATGGGCCATGAGTCTAGGGATGGGATTTTTAAGGATAAGTTATTCAAAGGCAAAAAGTCTTCTTCATCTGTTTCTGTGAGCTTCACTAGAAAAC